TAGATGAAAGCATAGAGTTGATAGTTCCGTTAGTGTATGGCAGTGTGGAAATCTTCGTCAACATGACCAAGCAGATCGAGGTTCTCGGTAAGTTCATCATCCAGTATGGCGTCTGAACCGCTTACTATCGCTACCTGGAACGCTTGCTCTATAAGAGCAATACAGATTAAGCTTGCCGACTTCCTCCGTAAGCACAGCATCGACGTGGATCTTCTAACCTAAAGTCCGGTGACAGCTTCTGGTTGCCAGACAACAGCATTATCCGGCTTGATTGCACCAGCTCCAGGGAGGGGGTGTAGCGGGGGTGTCAGAAAGGGAGTCAAGTTCTGCACTCCACCCCACATCTATCACCGACAAACCGACATGACACTCACGAAAACTCCAATGAATAGGAGACAATAGCGTTCGCAATGGCGGCTTCCAGAAGCGATCCTGGTCACGGCACGGCACCATATGTACCGTAGAGCGGTGACCAGGCCTTACGTTGTTTGTACCATAGAGCGGTGACCAGGCCCTACGCACGTTTCAAAACCAACCGAATTTTCAATTTCTTTCACTAACCGAGGAAAATTTCATGTTCCATGCAACGATTTTATTTCATGCAACGAAACGATCAAACTGCGACTAACTACACTAAGGCTGTGTTCCATTTGGTAAATTTTCACTTAAATTTGACAGATGGAAAATTTTCAAATAAACCTGCTATTCCAGCAGACTTATTTCTGACAGACAAGGAATCAACTTTGACAGACGCTTTCTCGAAAATCGGCCGATCAACAACAGTGGGATTTTCGAACATCTTAATTTATTTTCGAAGTGTCAAATTTAAGTGAAAATTTTGCAAATGGAACACAGCCTAAGACTGTGAACCATTTGCCGAGTTAAATTTAACTCGTGGTTAAAAGTGACAGTTCGAAAGTTATTTTCTATGTTCGAAAATCCCTGTGCTGTCGATTGACCGGTTTTCGAGAAGAACTTAGCCAAGGTTGTCAAAATTTAACTTCTTGTCTGTCAGAAGTAACCACGCTCGAATAGCAGGGTTAATCGATAACTTTTCATCTGTCAAATTTTAACCAAAAGTTAAAATAATCCACCAAATGGTTCAGAGCCTAAAAAGGTTGTGCTATGATCCAACTCACTTTTCTGCTGCTAGTGCGCGCTTGTGTTGGTACAAGCGCTACTCGCATCTGTCAATTAACAGGGTTCGGCAACCTGATACCAACTTCATTACACCGTAAAAGCGTTGGGCGCAACACACTTAATTCTGACTTATGTCCGAAAATCGTAAACGGCCGATGTACACTGAACCAAAACATCCGCAAAACTCCGAATGATTATTGCATTGCTAGAGCCCTTTAACAATATGCATTCGAATTTCGGATGATTTTCTTATGGTTGAATTCGTCGTCAGATGATGAACATCCATATGACTGTCATCCAAATACAGGATGATTTTCGTTTGAAAATTAGCTATGCAACATATGGCACTCAGAGGACAAACATTTAAGAATAGTGTGACATGCAAGTGGTTTTAATTAGATTTATATTTTGACTATCTACATTTCCATACTGAAAAGCCATAATAAGCCATTCCATTACGGATACAAAAATTTTTCGTTATGGAGAAACCTCCTCCACCACGAACTAGCCAAACATTGGTTTTCATCGTTTATCTATGTTCGTAACAGCTCTGATAGCGATGCATATGCTTCCACCTCGTTTGTCAGCTCAGATCAGCAAATGACGTTCGATAGAATTATTTACATCATCGTTTTGAATATTTGCGTTATGGAGCTGAACCAATACCATATGCAATTTCCATTTAGTATGACAGTCATTCTACAGAGAGCATTACGCATTTCAACTGAAGGTCCTATCCCTTCTCATAACAATTTTCATCCTGTATTCGAGAGGAAAATCATCTGATTCCAAAACAACCGTCATCCGGTTGCAGCCATCATTCGAAAAAGCGATTTCGGTGTTTTGTTTTGAATGGTCTGAGGTTTCATTCGATCAGAGGATGATGTTTGTGTACAGTGTAAATGTGCAGTGATTCGAACTTTCAAAACCATAGGATTTTTTGATCTAGAAAATAATTTGTCCATAATAGATCAGACATGAATAGTCAGAAATGTCATTGTTTTTGCTATGATCATTCATGTCGGTTTGTCGGTGCTTCTTTCATCGAGGCCCTTAGTGTGGTCTGGAAACGTCCGGTTTATCGCTGTTTACTACCCACGCCAGTGTACTGCAAGCGGACTAGGAATCCAATTCAAGAACGATCTGACCACCATCACTCGTACTAGCTCCCGATTCATCGTTGGAGGCGACGTGCATGAAGCTTGGCGGAACTACCAGCGGAACCGAATCGGATGTCTATTGTTCGACCACGCACAACCCTGTGCAGTTTCCGGACGAACCAACTTTCATCTCTCCAGCGGGAAATCCCACCCTGGACTTTTTCCTGTCGAACATCGGACTATCCAAACCGGAGGCGCACAACGATCTCAGCTCCAACCACCAACCGTTGGTGGCTGAAGTCGGTGTCCACGTGGTTCCTGCTAGAAGCTACCACCATGTCAACTATGTGCAGTTCGGACGAATGGTGGACAGAAACATCGGAGAAAATCCACTGCTCGACACCGTTGATGACATCGACTGGGCGTTGGAAGGACTCCAACAGGCTATGTCAGTGGCTGACGACCCTGTGAGGGGTAAGTTTGTTGTTATTGATTCACACACCCAATTACTGATTCGCTTGTGAAATTTTCGTAGACGCCAGTTTCAGAGGACTGGGGATCTGAACAGGCAGATTGCTTCCAGAATGGACTCACTTCGAAATGAAAGTGTTGTCCAGAATCTGGACCACCGTTCCAGACCATTCAGCGGCAGAAGGTAATCAAGGTATTGAAATCTCATCCTAAACCCGTTCCACCTCTTAAGGGCCACCCGCATTAGATCCGGATCTGACGCGTTGCGGCAAAGTGACAGCTAAATATATTGTCTAACTGTCAAATTTACGTCATCGCAACGCGAACAGATCTAATGTGGGTGACCCTTTAGAGTCGAAAATGATGATGATCGGTTCTTAATCACCCCACAGGAGAAAGCAAATGCTTGGCTCGACTATCCAAAGTTCGCTAGAAGATCAGGTTGCGCAATGCGTACAAAACCTAGAGATGCATTCAACTTGATCTTGAAAAAACTCAGAATACAGGCGCAGTCTCTTCTAACCGCTATCTTCAACAGTTGCTTGGAACTGCACTACTTTCCAAGCATCTGGAAGGAAGCAAAAATTTTACAAATCCGCAAACCCGGTAAGGACCCAACATTGTCCTCAAGCTACAGACCAATCAGCCTCCTTTCAGCGCTGTGCAAATTGCTCGAGAAACTCATTCTCAATCGTTTGCTAAAGTTTGTCGAGGAAAACAACATTCTTCTTCCGGAACAGTTTGGGTTCAGAAAGGGGAACTGCACCAATCACCAGCTAGTATGGGTGATGAATAACATCCGAAGTAACAAAGCTGTATCCAAGTCCACAGCCATGGCCTTGCTAGACGTTGATAAGGCGTTTGACAATGTCTGGCATGACGGACTTGTGTACAAGCTTTGTAGCTTCAACTTTCCATTACATCTGGTTAAAATCACCCGTAACTACCTCCAGCAAAGGTCGTTTTTAGGTTTCGTTGAATGGTTGCCTTTCAGACACGTTATCCAACCCAGCTGGTGTTCCAAAAGGTAGTCAAGTGCTCTGCCTTGGTTAGGTGTCTGTATCCGCTTATTTTTTTGGTGAACAAACTGGCAGTCTACAAACCACCTGCGATCCTCTACGCAGCACCGGTGTGGGAATCATGTGCACAGACTCATAGGAACAAAATCCAGGTTGCTCAGAATAGAGTGCTGAGGATGGTCCTTGATCGTCCCTTCGACACAAGAATTTCCGATCTTCACCTAGAGGCGATCATTCTTAAATTAGATTTTAAAATTGATGACATAAAGCCTAGGTTTGTGCAGAAATGCCAACACATCAGAACATGCTTTGATAAGCAATTTTTTTTTTTTTTTTTTTTTTTTTTTTTTTTTTTTTTTTTTTTTTATTATAGTCACTTTAACACTCTTGGGTCATTCGTGACTTGTCCGGGGGTGAGATTTGAACTCGTGACTTTGGCGTGAGAGGTATGGATGTTAACCACTACGCCGGGGTCGCCCCCTTGATAAGCAATTTGTATATAGTAGGTTAGTTGTTGTTGTGAATAGTAGTTGTAGGTAGTTTCAAACAAACCAATCCCATCACCACCGCAAACAACAGCAGTGGCATCTGATGGAAAATGAATGCAGAAGCTTGGTTAATTGGAGAACAACCTCACTAAACAATTCCAATAAGATTTATAGCGAATTTGTTTTTGGATCAGTTCCAACCTGGATCGGGTCTCAAGATTGGGTTTGCTTGTTGTCTAGCAAACGTCAGTGTGAACGTTTGTTTTTGTAACCTGGCTCGGGTTGAGGTTCGCACTGACAATAAGCTCGGGTTCGCACGGGTTGGAACTGGTTCCAACCTGGATAATAAACAAATTCGCTATAGTGATCGCAGAAAAGGAAAAAGAAAAGAAGAAACAAACAATGGAACATCGAATAACACACCATAGAATGGATTAATATCAGGAGGAATACACTTACACATAGAACGCATTGTGAATGGTGGGCGCAACGCATGGGTACACAAATCCGAACGGACAAGGTAAAGCGTGCAAGAGAAAGGCGAAACAATTATAAAAGGTAAACAGTGAATTATGGATAAAAGCACGATAAGTTAACCTCACTTTTCCCTGAGGACCTTAAGAATCTGTCAAATTTCTAAGGAAAAACGTGAACTTAGCAAATCATACCCATCTCTATTGTTGGTTGGGGACACAAGAATGAGGATCACAACTAACAGCTAGTGCCTCACATTTTCTTCCGGAGCAATGACGTAAAAAGGGGGTGTTTCGTTATGCACTCACCTTCTTTTGTTTTACACTTTCCTTTCTTGTCCGGATCCTGAAAGTAGAAAACGTAGATATTTATAGTATATCACAACATTCAATGCATCACATTCAAATGAAAACGCAAACAATCACACTAACACTCTTCAGGACCGGGCTCTTTTCGTCCGGAGAGGCCTCCTGCTGCTGCTGTTTCAATTCCTCCTTGTCCGATCCCACCGGGATGGTTCCACCGTTGCCGTACACATTCGTAATGCCCACGTTGTTCACTGGAGATTCGGCGGAAATTTGCGTTCCCACACCGGCCCTGATGGCGGTGTGGTTTTTGCTGATCAACGGTATGGACGGCGAGCGGATCGATCGAACCTTGGACCGATCGGCCCAGCTCTGCCAAAACGAGAAAGATACGAACACAAATGAGCGCATGATGCATATGAATGAAGATGGATTTTTGTTTTTGAGGTTATGTACCTTTTCATCGCCAAATCCGTGGTCATCCAATCGTTGTTGACCGAGGAGGCGGTCCGTCTCCAAGTCGGTGTCGGCTTCTTCCTCGTCTGCACTCAGCAGTTTGACCGGTTGGTCGGAGTCCAAGCTTTCCCGGGACTTGTCGAAAGATCTAGGGGATGATCAACGTGGATGGTATTACATTTATTCAGGCAAAAATAGGTGTCCTAACCTGGGCACCCACACCGGTGAGACGTCATTCCTGCCATCTTGTTCCGGATCTAACACTGAGGTACCTTCCGTAGAGGGCAATATTTTGGTCATTTGCAGCGCTGCCTTGATGTCCTTGATCGCTTCCTGAACTTCATCGCTTGAATCCAGCTGCGGCGGTTGTTGTTGCTCCACGTCCGTTCGACAGACCTGCTCGGCACCCATCTGAATGGAAGATATGAAGGGATATCCGGTTTCCTGCTCTATTGCCGAGGGATCGTCAGGCTGCTGCAGTTGTAGTTGGTCCATCACGATCGAGATACCCGATAGGGACGGAGGAGCTACATTGTTTTCGGTATCGGAAGCATGTCCACTGGAGAGACCATCTTCCAGGATCGGCATACTGCTGTAGAGTCGCCCGTAGTCGGTTACGTTTTCGTTACCGCCGCTGCCACCGCTTCCGACATGCCCGGACAGACCATTAAGGTCACCGGAAAGCCCTGCGAAGGGATGGAGGGGATATTTGGATTTACATCGTCAGGGTCAGGACAGTAGGCGATTTTCATAGAGCCGCTTCAGTGGGATTTTTAGAGCTAGCAAGTGACCGTTTACTTACAAACTTACTGGTACTGTCGTTCCATCTCGCTAAAGTGGATCTCAATGATCCACTGGAGTGGATCTCAGTGATCCACTGGAGTGGATCTCAGTGATCCACTGGAGTGGATCTCAAAGATCCACTGGAGTAGATTTCAAAGATCCACTGGAGTGAATCTCAAAGTTTCACTGAAGTCGATCTCAGATCCACTGAATTCGATCTCAAAGATGCACTGGAGTGGATCTCAACGATCCACTGGAGTATATTTAAAAGATCAACTGGAGTGGATCTCAAAGTTTCACTGAAGTGGATCTCAAAGATCCACTGGAGTAGATTTTAAAGATCCACTGGAGTGGATCTCAAAGATGCACTGGAGTATATTTCAAAGATCCACTGGAGTGAATCTCAAAGTTTCGCTGAAGTCGATCTCAAAGATCCACTGGAGTGGATCTCAAAGTTTCACTGAAGCGGATCTCAAAGATCCACTGGAGTAGATTTAAAAGATCCACTGGAGTGGATCTCAAAGATCCACTGGAATGGATCTCAAAGATCCACTGGAGTGGATCTCAAAGATCAACTAGAGTGAATCTCAAAGATCAACTAGAGTGGATCTCAAAGATCAACTAGAGTGAATCTGAAAGATCAACCTGAGTGAATCTCAAAGATCAACTAGAGTGGATCTGAAAGATCAACTAGAGTGGATCTCAAAGTTTCACTGAAGTGGATCTCAAAGATCCACTTGAGTAGATTTAAAAGATCCACTGGAGTGGATCTCAAAGTTTCACTGAAGTGGATCTCAAAGTTTCACTGAAGTGAATCTCAAAGATTCACTGGAGTGGATCTCAAAGATCCACTGGATTAGATCTCAAAGATCTACTGGAGTGGATCTCAAAGATCCACTAGAGTGGATCTCAAAGATTGCATCTCCACGACACACTAGAGTGGATCCTCATGCGGTTAGATCTGAACGATCCACTGAACTAACTCTTTTCACCCCCACTAGAATGACTCTTTCCGACCTTCCAAAGCCAATCATATCGCAAGCAAGCTATCTACAAAGCAACACCAAACCATGCAAGCCTCTACCAACCGTATTCATTTCCCATGTACCGCAGGGAGACTTCAGAGTCCAGATCCCCGCAGTTGGAATCGTAATCGGTTGTTTCCGGAGAAAGCGTAAAGCTCCGAATCTTACTGTCCATATGATGGGAATGCTGATGCTGATGCTGATGTTGTTGTTGTTGGTGATGATGCATCTGCTGCTGTTGCTTCTGCTGCTGTTGTTCCGCTTCCGACTCCCCTCCACTGCGACTACCGGAATCGATAAACAGTTCAATGTCCTGCGCTTCCCCACCACCGCCACCCGTTGTTCCTGTCCCGAAACCATGATGGTGATGGTGATGATGATGATGATGTGAAGAAGCGTAATGCGAATGATAGTAACGTTCCTGTTGATTGTGCGACTCCGCTTGCTGTTGTGCATTAGTGTTAGCGTAATGGTATTGGTTGTTACTGTGCTTATGATAGTATGGGTAGTTATTGCTCAAATGACTCCCGATCGGGGTACTGGATTGCTGTTCGTCATCATCGTCGTCTTCGTCGCCGGGCTCCTCTTGTCCGGATCCGGAGCGATTGGACTTTGTGGCCAGCCGCTGGGCAACATAAGCGTTACTTTGAGCATTTCGGTTAGTACTAGTAGCGTTATAGCTGAAGAAATAATCCTGATCGTTTCCACCACCACCGCCTTCGTCACCATTATCGATATTGGTTAGTAGATTAGTCGGAGTTTGATTGTTCTGCTCACCCTCTTCCATCAACGACAGCTCGTCGTTGGTGGAGGTGAAATAATCGACATAGGTTAGATTGAACTTACTCTCGTTGGAGAGGGTCCGTAACCGGGACCCGTCACCATCGTCGTTGAGATCGATCAACTCCGACTGACTGTCGGTGGTCGGCGAAGCCTGGGGACTGGGCGAAATCACTCTCTGAAATGAAATCATCGCATTACTCACAGTTCCGGGAAGAGATCGTAACAAAACCTACCTTCGGAAATCCCGGTCGAGGCATTCCAGCAGATCTCCCACCTCCAAACCCACCGCCACCGCCTCCGTCTCCACCAAAATCATCCCGGTCAACCATACCGAACCTTCGCGGTGATCCTTCGTATTCCGCAATCGTCAGACCTCCGATGATCCTCTGGATCTTCGAACTGTCCACATCGTAGTAATTCCTCTCGTCATCTCTCCCGCCACCTTCCTGTCCCCCGGAAGCACAACTATTGTCCTCTTCCTCGTTCTCGCTTTCGGAAGGCACCGGTGAACTCCCCAGAATATCCCGATCTCCACTCATCCTCCAGTTGCGGTTCAAACCCATCGTCGTATCGATATCGTCAAACACGACCATCTCCCCGTCGGAGAGCAACGAGAAGGACGAAAAGGCAGCGTCCGCTTGATGACGGCCCGGTTGCGACGGCTGCAGCGTCGGACTAGACGGATTGGTGGAGTTATTGCTATCGTTGTTTCCGCCACTGCCGACCGGACTGCGACCGACCTTGATCTGATGGTGCTGCATCAGGGTGCTGTGTTGGTAGCGTAGCTTCGTGTCCAGATCGGTTAGGTCCGGGGAGTTGAGAACCGTGCTGACCGGAGTGGTGTTCGGGGTCCGGTTGGCCGGGCGCATTTCCCACTGCAGCCGATCGGAGTCCCTGCTGTAGCTGTAGCTCTGCGGTCGTCCCGGCGCTGGCAGCGGCTGACGAGGAGGACCGCCACCGTTGTTGTTGTTGTTGTTGTTGGTGGTGCCAGTGGGACCCGCGGAAGAGGACGATTTGAGCTGGGTACCGTTTGAGTAGGACATTTTTTTTTTAGTTCTTGTTGGGTGCTAAGGAGTGCTCTGTCTGGAGTGAGTGTTTGCTAAGTTTTAGCGTAAATCAGTCTTGCTCAATTGCTGAAGATTAACGAAGCGTTTGGTTTGATAATGCTGGTGTGTTTCTGGTTTTATCTTATTTGGTAGATGTGCTCTGCGGTTGCAACGGGGCCAAATCATATTAGCCGAAGTTTGGTAGATTCTGGAAGTAGGGAAAGAGAACATATATCCATTAAGTCAAATGAGGAACATCAGATGAAAAAAAACTGCAATTTCGCTTTAGGAACAGACTGTCTTAAATACCGAGTTGAATACGTTAAATTTTCACTGGAAGTAACATGCACCCAAGTAACTACCAAGCCCGTTAATGGCCCGATTATATTCCAAAACGGGCTATTAACGGGCTTGGTGGTTAATTGGGATTATTGCAATTTTTTTTAACAAATCCGGGATCCATTTTCTCAAAGCCTGCAATCAAAATGTGTTTTTTTACTAGGCTCAGTCGTGTGTGACACTTTGCGGAGCCAAACATCCGTTATTTTTTAATTAACATTTTAAACAGCAGTAAATCTAGCTTAGTATTGGGTGCCGATTACTCGTGGCGGACTCGAGGTTCATGGGTAACAATTTCGATTGGAAGGAGTTAGGTACACGGCGAATGAGAACGCCTCAAATTTGAGTTTAATCGCCAAAAGCGCAGGAACTCAGCGATGAGTAAAATTTGTCTCATGGTTTCCTGTGGAAAACCTAAAAAATCTGCCGGAAAATGAGGAAATTGACGAAAATTTTATTCAGTCTCGAAGTAGTACCAATAGACTGAGTGAATCCAATCTTTACTTTTCTCAAATCCGGGAATTTTCCCTGGAAAACCCTGGAAAAACCTGGGAAAACATGAGGAAAATTAACTCATCGCTGAGTTCCTGCACTTTTGGCGATTATGAGTGAACTAAACTCAAATTTGAGTCGTTCTCATTCGCCGTGTAGGAAACAGGTTTCTGAAGCCTCCTTCAGATACTACTCTCGGACGGTTGAACAAATCCTGGCTGGGCAGGGGCAAGTAGCACAGAAACAGGAGGTTAATAAGATTGGGAAACAATGGCTGGAAAATGGGTGGAAAGGAGGGGATGGTCACATCAAATTCTAACATCAGACAAACAAAATCATTAGGGACACAGGGCCGACATTTATAGAGTATGAAAGTAGCACTCGCTGTTTTTTTTCCTTGATTTATTTTCCGTCGATCTTGTTTTCCGTGCTGAGCACCAATGCTACCGATGCCAGGGAAGCAGCTCCCACACCTTGACCCTACCTATCGACCCATCAACTCATGAACCGGGGACCAACGGTTTTACCATAGAGGTAACTCTAAGACCACTGGGTCCCGAAGAAAATCATTATTATTTTTGGCTCACTCAGTACCAGAACAACGGTCCCAAGCAGTCCCAAGCTATTTCACTCACCCCTGCATGTTCTGCATGAATCCACACACCCCTGATGTTATCTGTCAAACTTTCATAGCGAATCAAAACAAACATAGTGTAGTAATAGAATTTCAACTAGAATAGGGTACGTTAATCGTTTGCTTGGGACCAATAGGCTACTAAAGTGGTGAGCCAATTTAAAATCGTTAGTTTCGTATTGATTGTTGGTTTTACCATTTCCCTTCCGAAGGAAGGCATGATCAGAGATGTTATGCCTCAGAACATCCTGGCGACGCCGGCTAGGATTGAACCCAGGCCTGCTGGGGTGAGAGGTAATCACGCTTACCACTACACAACCGGCGCCGCTCAGCACTCCCTGTTGGACTTGATCAAGTTTAATAACCTGCCTCAACCTGCCATTGTATAAAGGGCCAAAACGTTTTAGGTGAATCCGAGGGTAACATCAAAGATGAATACTAAGATGAAACTGTCGGAAGAAAAACTTTCTATTTTAGTGTCCTCTTTCACGGTCCCTTTCATCCATTGAATACCCCTCGTATTCAAGGTAATTTTGTGGTTTTGCTGCCCCCTCGGTAGAGATGAAATTTTGCGCTCATTTTTATCAAAACAAACACACCAAAATCAGAGGTGTCCCATTGTTTAATTACTCGATTAACAACTAATCGATTTTTTTTTGTTCGCTGTGCTGCCATTTTTCCACCAATGAGAGTGCAGCACATGTTTGAAACGATCGGTGATGATCCTCTGGAGAAGTTAATGCTTATATCGGCATGATATAACCGATTGCAAATATTTTACTTTTCGGTTCGTTAATCGATTAATCGATAATTCGAATGAAAATCGGCCATCACTAGATGAATGTGAAACGTCATTTCAAATATATGGACCATACATAAATAATGATACAATTTGAAAGGGACCGGGGCTCATCACAAATTACGTCCACACGGTAACTGAAATAAACACGAGTGTTCACCGGTTGGTAACATGGCCCACGTGCATCCGCGGGATAAATGAGAATCTCCTTCCAGCAACAGGATCATACAACCGGCAAAAAACAGGCCATCCAACAGGAGGACGCCCCAATGAGTGGGGAGAAGCGCCCTCCCTCTTTTCACGAAATGTAAAAAACAGGAAGTTGGCATTTCCACTCTCCCCATCCATTTCGCTTCAATCGGGTGCCCTGGTGGACACCGCCGTACCCAGCATATAATGTTTCATATAATCAGAGATGGAAAAGTTCACGAAAACTCACTATGCCTTGCAAACTTTTCCCTTGGGGAACTTTTCCAACACTGCATATAATAATGGATTGAAAGGTAAAAATAATTAAAGGAAAGAATTCACCCGATATGCTACAAAGGAATCCATGACAAAACGATGATTTCGAAGAGTTACCGCTTCTTCGTAAACCAATGTTAAAATAGTACTCTCGCCTTTCTTTCGTCACACAGCAATGGAAACCCCCATCAACCGCGAAACACACTGTAGCTGCTCCAACTAGAGGGATCTCAGCAGAGGAAAAAAGACTGCGACCACTTTCCATCACCAATCACACAACGGCTTCAGTTCACCAGTTCACAGTCTGGAAGACCCTGCGACAACCCCTCCGAATTAACTCACGACCAACGCCGAAATCAGAACAAACAACTCCAGCGACCAAAAAATAGCGTCGAACACTTCGATTGCATTTCTGAAACACAACCTCAACGCACAAACACGACGACGAAGACAACATTGGACAAGCGCCATTCGTCCGGAAGGCGGAAACAAACAAAGGGAAGAAAACAAAATGCACATTCAGAGCACGGCACGAGCTGAACTGCTAACGTTAAAAGCCAAACGCGAACTGGGGGTCACTGAGGCCGATATTAGGGACATTAACCCTGTTTCCGTGTAAATACCGCCCAGCCCTGTCGACTACACCTGCGTCGACGAACCCCTTGCGCAACTGTCAAACTGCGCGCCTCCTTCTATCGAAATCTTTCAGCAAAAGAATCGTTGTCATCATTTTGAAGTACTGTACCAAGCACCGAAGAGCAAAGACGCAATAAAAGTTGAGTGAAGTCAAATTTGTATTTCGGTCCGTTTTTAAGTTTTCTTTTGATTCGAATTGCCTGCGTTTCTTGCCGGTCCAGTCCAAGGTTCAAACATTGGTCCTTCTTCGTCGGATATAGTGAATCGCGATGGAAAAGTTAGTGAAAATTCGCAACGCACAAATGGTGCAATTGGTCGGGGAGCTGACAGCAGCCGGGAAACTCGCTGAGCGGAAGGCTTCCTACAGCGAGGCAACGGAACGGCTCGACCAGCACAAGGAACTTGCTGGAAATTTCCGGAAAACACAAACAAGCATCGAGGAGCTCCTTGACGACCCGGAAACAGTTGATTCGGTGCACAATTTTCGTGAAGAATTTAACGGTGCCTACTTCAAGGCGAAAGACATCCTCGAGATATACATCGCGGACAACAATCCGGATGATGTGAGTTCCACATCCAGTGGCAAAACGATCGTCGGCAGCGACCTCCGAGAGGCGATGAAAATGCTACTCATCACTCAACGCGCCTTGCTGGAAGGGCAGCGGGTGGCAAGCTCCGCGAACAACAACCAACCAAGCTTCGATCCAGCAGCGGGGGATGTGGTGTCGAATCGTTTACCCTTTCTGAATGTGCGGCTTCCATCGATCAACGTGCCGACGTTCAGCGGTGATCGGAAGAGCTGGAGGTCATTCAAGGACATTTTTGAATCGACCATTCACGACCGGAACGATCTGAAGGATTCTATCAAGATGCAATATCTTGTGTCCTACCTCGACGGCAGTGCGAAGCAGCAGGTAAGTTCGTTCCCGATTTCCGACGCGAACTACCAGGATGCGTGGGAGGCGCTCACGAACCACTACGATAAGAAAAAATATACCGTTTTCGCTCTTATTCGTGAGTTCGTGGACCAGCCGGCGGTGACCACCGCCACATCCGGAAGTCTACGCAAGCTCGTCACTACTTCTGATGAGGTGGTATGACAATTGAACGCACTTGGTGAGGACTAGCAAGTGCTAGCTTGCAGTAGGAGAAAAGTGCGCGAAATGCTCCAATGAGCATCTGTTATTTCAGTGCAGTGAATTCAAAAAGATGAACATACAGTGCAGGCGCGAACTAGTGAAGAACGCGAGATTGTGCTTTAATTACCTTAGGGCATCGCACACCGCGAAGTTTTGTAGTTCTAAATCAGTGTGCCGGAATGAAAACTGTAAGCAGCGGCATCACACACTGCTATGTGAACTGAAAAGTGAAGATGGAAAAAAGAAACCAGTGGAAAACAGTGATTCAGACCAGCAACAAGCGGGTGAAGCAGCCATCACCTCAATGGTAGCGCAGATACCGCTGGAGCCACAGCAGAAGTCGGTCGTGCTACCTACTGCTGTGATCCGTGTACAGGGATTCGACGGCGGTCTTCTGCAAGTGCGTGCTCTGATCGACTCGGGCTCTGAAGCATCATTGATCTCGGAAGTATGCGTCAAGAAGCTCGGTCTGTCTCGCTCCAACAGAAAGGTAACGGTTTCCGGCCTGGGACAACAGGCAGCCGGAACAACGCGTGGCCTTGTAAAGCTGGTGATGGCTAACCGGTTTACCGACGCGTGTGTTTTGCAGACAAGTGCCTACGTTCTGGGGAAGCTCACCTCGACGATAAGCAGATAAAGAAGAACCTCGCTGATCAGGCATACTATCAGCCGGATCTGATCGATATCATTTTGGGATCTGACGTCTTTCTTGCTCTCCTCAAGCCAGGGCAAGTCAAAGACAACGGTGGTGTTCCTGTGGCACAGAACACGATCTTCGGGTGGATTGTGTCCGGGAATCAAGCCATCTACTCATCGAGTCTTCGAAGCAACGTCTCGATCGTCAATCTTCACACAGAGCTGGACCTCAACCGCACCTTGCGGATGTTTTGGGAGCAGGAGGAGGTTCCGAAGCCACAGCAGCTTAATCCTTCTGAACAAGCAGCCACCGAGCTCTTTAGGTCTACTCTTACACGGGATGAAAATGGGCGCTTCATCGTGCGACTGCTGTTCGATGATTCGAAGCCAGCGCTGGGTGAGTCCCTCACTTCGGCCATTAAGCGATTGCGATCGATGGAAAGACGTTTCCGACAGGATGAGGAATTCTATACGCTGTACTCGGAGTTCCTCAGCGAATACCTGGCGCTGGGGCACATGGAAGAGGTGCCACCAGACGAACTGGAAGTAGAGACTAGCAAGTGTTTCTACCTTCCCCACCATGCCGTCGTCAAGGCCGAAAGCACGACGACTAAGTTGCGGGTGGTCTTCGACGCCTCGTGCGCTTCGTCGACTGGCGTTTCGCTCAACGACAGACTCCTGGCGGGACCGAGGGGCACGCAATAACTTTTAACTCCTACGCAAGCCTTTTTTAAGTACAATAATTACAGTTAACTACATGATTAATTACTTTAATTACGAGCGTCGGAAATTTTTTGATTTAATTACTTTTAAGTACAAATTTCAGCTTTAATTACAAGTCACATAAATTAAGTACATTAACTCCATTAATGTACCACGAGAAATGTACTTAAATTTCCCCCAACGTACCGTTAGACCCTTTCGTTATTGGCCCGTGAAACAAAAATTTCACAGGCCCTTTTGCTACGTTAAGGATAATTTCAGTTGGTGATTGGTGCCAATTCACATACAACGATCGGTTCGTGATTTGAAATGTAGTCGGATTTCAATACCGCCGAGGTGTTGGCAGGGCAATGAACTATATCCTAGATCACGCCCCTGTAAAAGCACCGGAGAATGCAACAATGAAAGGAATGTTTGTTTGTGCTACCTGGTTCAACCTAAGAAATAACGAATTTAATTTGGAGGATGCGAACGAAAACAGAATTACAATAGAAAATTATGTTAACCTTTGCGTGCCTAACGTCTAAGTTTGCATAGATATTAAAATTCAATTAGCTATAAAAACATAATTTCTCAATATTTGTCTTTACAACAAATTGAATTTTGTCTTGAATCTATTGAAGTTTCTGAATACATCTGAAAATATTTTGATCAATTCATGGTTCCGGCGTTATTTCGGTTCCCGTTGGGGTCGCTTTTGGTCGGCATTCGGCTTTATTGTTCTGTAATAAGTATACACACGATGAACATCATGTTTTTTTTCTCTCAAACGATGTAATTGGACCAGTGGCAGCTATTTCGATGGTTCACAATCACATTGGGCATCCCGAAAATGTTCCGGTGCCCCGGGGAAGTGACCAATTCTCAACAAGAACCAAAACCCATCATGCGACATATCAAACTTCATGATTTTACAAATCTTGGCCAGTAATGGCCTTATTGAGAGTTCATGGTCACACTAGCCCTCCCAGACATGTTCCTGTGTCCCCGAGCAAGTGACCGATTCTCCACAAGAACCAAAACACGTCATGCGACATATCAAACTTTATGATTCTGCTGAACTCGGCCAGTAATGGTCTTTTTGAGAGCCCACGATCCCATTGGCCCTCCCTGGCATGTTCCGGTGTTCCCGGGTATATTTTCAATTATCGACAAGAACCAAAATCCTTCGTGCAACATATCAAACTTCATGATTCTGCACGGCTAATAATGGTCTTAGACAGCCCACAGTCCCATTTAACTGTCCCCCTCCCCCCCGGTTAAATATCCAACTCCCAATAAGAACCGAAACCCCTCGTGTGACATATCAAACTTCATTATTTTACGAAACTCCGTCGGTAATGACCATATTAAGAGTTCAAATTTGCTATCCCAGACAGCTGAACGGACACTGGAGCTGGTGCATACTTAGGACATTCACACGCTGAGCTACTTCCGGGAAAAAATCGCAGCTGGTATGCAATTGTCTTCCCAGCACGGATAACTTGAGTGTGTCAAGTTGATCGGTAACGATCATTTCGTGTCCTGTGCACATGGGACTCATCGTTTCCTATCGGTTTGGAGTTCTGCCCATAGTATTGTTTAGTTGACCCATGGAAAGACGAACAATGGGGAGGCGAATTTCATAAATGCTATCGCGTCAATTCTGAATACGGATGTGATCATATGATGGCGATAATACAAATAAAAGCACACAATTGGTTTGAATCATCTTAGTGTCTGCAACCAAAACCTGATTATAATTTTCTTGTTAATGAACTCTGCCTTAAATCTGTTAATTATGATTAGTATAATAATATTAAGTTTGAAAGAAATATTGAAATAATCGAAGAATTCACGCGTAACATCAGAAAATTAATGCAAATGCACATACATCTTTCATTGAATCTGTTAATTCAGGCACAAGCTAATATCATCATCTGTCGAACTGTGCTGCGAGCACACAACTGAAATCTGGCGTCGTTGGCGAGACGAATATCTTGCTAGTCTGCAACCGCGGAGCAAGTGGCGAACAACCGAAACTAACCTGGAGAAGGATCAGCTTGTGCTGATCAAGAACGATAACGCGCCGCCGGCTCAGTGGGGGTTGGCCCGTATCGTAGAGCTGCACCCGGACTCGATGGGAGTCGTCCGGACGGTCACCTTGCGGCGTGGGCAAGCAGATTACTCACGTCCCATCCAGAAGATTTGCGTTCTACCAACGGATTGAGGCAACAGTGCCTCAAGGCGGGGGTGGATGTTTCCGTGTAAATACCGCCCAGCCCTGTCGACCACACCTGCGTCGACGAACCCCTTGCGCAACTGTCAAACTGCGCGCCTCCTTCTATCGAAATCTTTCAGCAAAAGAATCGTTGTCATCATTTTGAAGTACTGTACCAAGCACCGAAGAGAAAAGACGCAATAAAAGTTGAGTGAAGTCGAATTTGTATTTCGGTCCGTTTTTAAGTTTTCTTTCGATTCGAATTGCCTGTGTTTCTTGCCGGTCCAGTCCAAGGTTCAAACAAACCCTATATGTTGAAATTTCTTTTTCTTCGATGAATGTTTGTTTTGATTCGCTATGAAAGTTTGACAGATAAAATGAGGGGTTAGTGGATTTTGCTATGTTTCGAGGGGTGAATCGATTAGCTTGGGACCGAAGAGAGTACCAGAGCTGAGCCAAAAAGTTGAGCACGTTATTCTAGTCTTAAAGGTACCTCTATGGAGTTACCTCTATGGAAATAGGCAGTTAATCAGACCCCATTAGTAGCCTTAATTCAAATAATGCTGCTCTAAAGCGCTGTCCAGACTGAGCAGTTATAACAACCGGTGGAAACTAACGATTTTAAATTGGCTCACTACTTGACTAGCCTATTGGTCCTAAGCAAATCGGTTAACGTGCTCCATTATAGTCGAAATTCTAGTACTACACTGTTTTGATTAGCTATGAAAGTTTGACAGTTAAAATTAGGGGTTCGTCGATTTTCCTATGTTTCGAGGGGTATGCTTTCCGTGATGGGAAAAGTGGTTTCCCTAACACAGTCGCCGAATATTGATACCAAGCACTGAGCATGCCAGACGGTGCCTATCTTTATGCCTTTTGATGCAAATTTTAAGCCCCTCCTATTAAGAGAATCGTGCCAAAAAAAATCTTGCCGAATTCTCTTGATAGAAGGGGATTAAAATTAGCATCAAACAGCATAAACGTAGGTACCATCCGGTAGGCTCAGATTCTGTGATTGATGTGTTTTCCCTAATACATATTTCATTTCCGCACCGCCATCATCTCCAAGAACATCGAGGACAAATTTCCACAGCATTGTTCTAAGCTGACTTCCAAGCTTCCAACCCATCGGTCCTTTTCAGGACCACAAATGACTTAAGAGTAAGAGCTTGTATCCCAGACATATCGTCCAGGATTGGCTTGTACTATGGACATCGACAGAGCACCTCAAAAACAGAACTCTCGAATTGCTTCCGAATTTCAACCTATCGATAACGAGTTAAGTCGTAATCCTACGTCGAATCTACGGTCGTGTCTTGGATACAACCTCTAACTTTTTATCTTATTGAATAATTTAAAACTATTCATCTTTAAAAATTTCTTATGCTTGATACCCTTTCGACTAATGTTTCCATTTCCTCGCCGTTTTTGGTTATCCAGGAATCTAGAAACAACTGATATTTCATCCTGGCAACTCCTGGAAATCGGTAAATACTTTTATTCAGTTCACGAATAGTTCATTTTTAAACTTTCTAAAGTTTATTTAATTTTGTCTTGGAAGTTTCTTTTAACTTTCCCCTGGAAAATCCTGGTCTATCCGCCCCAGGCAATCAAAATCAATCAGTTGTGTGCTGAAAAGCAAAACTTTCGTTGCTTCTGGCACCTTGAAGCAGCAAATTTATCAGGAGGAGTGCCAACGGAAGAGACTACTGCCTTTTCTGGCCACCCTAACGGAACTGGATAAAATTCTACTATTTTGACCTGAAAATAATTCTTCATATAATCTTACAGAAGCTTTGAGGGTTGGCCTATAATCCCATGATTAAAGAACAATTATTTGATTTAGATTTTGCGAGACAATGATCGAAGAACAATTATTATACAACATTGTTAAACTTCGAAAAAAGATCAAAAGAAAACTTCAAATGTTCTGGCAATTATTTCTACTCAAGGGGCAAGATGGTCAGTCATGCATTATTGGCATTATTTTCCTGATGTACTGAAGGAGCTTACACACATTTCTAATTGTCAAAAGATGCGGTTTAGAGACGATGCTCGTCTTGTTCCATATAACCATCTTTACCCCACCTTCCCCTATGCAACAAACCATTAAAACTAAAAACCGTCACAACTCCACCACTCTTTCCAATGAGTTCCATTTTTCCTAGAATTCAAATTCAGAAAGCAGACTCGAAAGAATCATCGCAACGTGACTTCAATAATAATAGGCAATTCCAGAATTAATGTCCAAACCAGACCAAACTGAATCTAACTGTTCTCAATTTTGGTAGGTTGCTCAGTATAGGTAGACATAGTATGTACGTATGAAAATGCAAAGTTATTATAAATAGGCCTATCCGACTGGGTTGAATGGATGATTGCACTGCACCAGAATAATTACATTGCCAAAGGGAGATCAATCCCAGCGAAGATTTGTTTTCCAAACTAGCGGTTGAATGATCTAATACCGCTAGCTGTTCGTAGTAATCATCGGGCTTTCGATTTAAATAATTACATGTTTAGCATGCATGCACGAGCCTTCCTCTAGCCTCTCCAGTAAGACAGGAATATTGCACCTTCTCTCTTCTCCGGGAGGGACCACAATGATTCAGTAACGCAGCAGTGTTTGTCTCATCGCTGACTGAATGCGGTTTTAATTAGGCCAAGATATTCCGTAGCCCCGTGGGCACAGTGCAGCAGATGCAAACCCCCCCACTGACCAATCGATCGATTCCGACGAGCAGAGAGGGAGGTGGGAGGGGGGGGGACCACCTTGGCAAATAAATACTAACTTCTATTTTCGGAAGGCACTTTTTTTCTGTGTTCCTTTCTTCAACCGCATCATTACACCAAAAGTTGTGTCAGGAAAAATCAATAATTTATCATCACCGACTGCGGGGCCCTTGTCCGAAATTGACAGCGTAAAAACACACCTCACTCACCTTCGACGTAGAATTCCGATTCGTCAAATTTCTCCACTCCCGGAGGAAGCATCCTTGGTGGCTGAAGGAAATCCTGACACACAAATGCACCGCACTTCTCCTGCTTATCAAAATGTGTCCGACCACCTTCTGAAGATTCTGCTTTTTGCTATCAATCTTTTTTTCCTGCTGCTTCACTGTCTTCCACTGATACTGATGTCCACTCGTACTCGCATCCGAAAGGAGAGGAAAACAATCACTGACGTCCGTTCGGCTTCTCGCGACTCGGCAAAACCTTCGTCGGTCGCTTTTGACGTTTCAGTTTTTTTGCGTCTTCTCTTTTCACCGGGAGTTCGTGTTGTTCGCGTTGATGGACGTGATTTTAGCCGCGAATAGGCGAACGGAACCTTCACACTTTGATTCACATTAGCTGAAAACACATGATGATGGGGGCAATTCGGCTAAAGCAGACATTTATTGCTACCAGAAACCAGTAAATTTTATTCCGCATACACAGAAAAAAAAGTTGTTGAATATTACATCCAAACTGCTGCAACCAGGTCAATCCATCGGTTGTGTAATATAACGTTGTACGATGTACATTGATTTTGCGAACAAAATTACATCCATTGATGTAATATTGTATCTGTTTTTTGCTATTACATCATTATTTCATACATCAGCTTGAATTACATCGATCGATATTACATTTTTTTTTGCTGTGTATCCTCTTCTAAATTCCTTTCTCATTTGGCGTAAACCGGTCTCTCACATACGAAATAATATTCATCCCAGCAGTTGACCACCGTCCACTTGAATCCATCCATCGTCGTCGGGGCGGCCTCATTGTTCTGGTTCGGGTTCCCTAGCAGAATGCACCGATCGTCCTTCCGTTGGTCACTGGCCGTAGGCATTTCGACCAGTTCGTTCCAGTTGTGCCAAACGATACGGGTTCCCATCGAGTGCCAGTGGAAATTGCCCAATTCTGCCAAATCACTGCCACCGATCCAGAACGAATTGTCGCCCGCCTTGTCGGTGGCTTCGATCGCCTTGGTGATGATGACCTGCTTCTCGGCCGAGCTGGCCATCACCAGGTTGCGGCCCAGATAGTGACAGTACTCGGTTGCTTTGAACCAGTTGGCCTGGAAATGGAATTTATGGTTTTAAATAAGATGAGCCAGTAGAAAAAGTATATCAAGACAAATTGAGATCTTTAATTTTGAAAAACATAGCGGTTTTTTTCCTTTGATTTGTTTTTCGTCGATCTTGTTTACGCTCCTCTCGACTACAGGAGAAGCGAACGGACCTAAATAAATATTTAAATATATACCAATACCAGGTCAGCCTCCTACACCTAATATAATGGTTAACACATTTCCAGACTACCCCCACCCTCTCTTGCGCTACGTAATATTTGAATTTTGACTAGAACTCCAAGTCAAATGTAAGAAGAGTTCCAAGGTAATTGTTAGAAAAGCTCCAGGTGAATTTAGGAGAGTTCCGAATCGAATTCTTTGGTTGTGCTGAGGGAAATTCCATGACGATTATGAAAAGAATTCCTGTTCCATTTCGAAGGAATATTCCAACGATAATTACAAGAATATTCCTAGGGTTTTGAGTTACATCTATCTATCAAGTTCCAAGGCAATTCAAAAATCGGTTTTAACTTAATTCTGAAAGGAATTCTGAGAAGAATATCAAGGGAATCGATTTTTGAGGGTAAAACGTCAATGAAATTCTGAGCAAATTTTCAAGGGAATTCCGAGTATAATTCCAAGGGCATTTCGAGAAGAATATAGATAATTCTGAATAGACTTCTGAACTGAGATGGATAATTCAAGTGAAATGGTATTCAAAATATACGAAGACAACATATCAAGAAGACTGGCAACTTTGTCTGAATCCGAACGGCAGGCAGAAGGTGGAAGCAACGCATAGAGAAATGAGTGAATACACACCTTTCTTCTGACAATGGAAACTTTGATATCCAATTCGTTCGGAGCCTTTACCTTTGAGCGGTAGATGATGCGATTGTGCCTGTCTCATACCGGTCGTTTGATAAAATGGAAGAGTTGCCAGTCTTCTTGATATGTTGTCTTCGCTATAACTCAAGAACAGATTGACGGATTTGCAAGATTATTTTTTATTTTGTTCGTCTTGGCCCCGACGGGGTTATATCCAACAACTTGGCAGTACGTCGTTTGCCGGGTCCGCTTGTTTTATATAAATTCGTTGTAAAGCTTAGGATGTTTTCCACGATATTTGTTACGAGTGATCTGTATTGAATTTCTAGCCTGTTTTAAAGAAAATTTCAAGGGAATTACAAATTTCAAATTTTTTTTAGAGGAATTCTGAATAGAAGTAGGGAAAAATCCCATTGTTGCGGCACATTGGCACATTAGAAGCGTTAGAAGCCTATTGTTGTGCTTCTAACATATCGTAACAATAGGACTGTTTCCCCTATGTGAAAGGAAAGGAAATGATGTTGTTGAAGGAAATTCATGAAAACATTTTTATAAAAATCCTGTGAGGAGATCTATGCGAATTATCGAGATACAGTCAAGATTCCAATAGTACGGATTCGTTCTTGCCGGATTCCTATAGTACGGGTGTCACTGGACTCCTATAATACGGTCGATCCGACATTAACGCATACACATACCATATGGGATTTGACCTAATTAGGTCCAAACGAGGGGGAAGACAGCGAGAAATTAAGAGCAATCCAGATTAGCTCTGAGGAACTCTTTTGCTTTCTGATGAACGATTTTATTATCTCGATTGTTTTGACAGCGCAGAACAAGCAATTTATTTATTTTTTTGTGTAAAGGAACGTTAGTTTTTTCGGCCGGTGATCTTTGCCGTAAAATACGCTCATCACGCAATAACGTTGCTGTTTTGATACAAAATAAATGGGGCTAGGGGGCGTCTGTGGGGGTTTGGTGGAAAAGTTTGTACGTTTGTAAAACTTTCCTGTTCTAGCAATCGAGACCCTCACAGGATTCATCCTCAAGTACATGTCCTAACCAGAGCTGGTAGCCGGCAGGGCATATCCACTCGCTTGCTCAAAGAGAAAAGTGCGAAAATAGTGCAAAGAGTGATTTAAGAAAATAGCCAAAACTTCAATGAACTGGTAGAAAACGAGATCATTTCCTCATTTAAATATTGCATCCATTTTTCTTCATTCATTGTTTGTGTTTCGTTATAGAACTGACATTTGCATGGTCAGATTTCAAAACTATATGCCATACTAATTCCATAGAGGTAACTCTAAGACCAGAAGGTCCCGAAGAAACGAGCTCAACTTTTTGGCTCAGCTCTGGTACTATCTCCGGTCCCAAGCTAATCGATGCACCCCTCGAAACATAGAAAAATCCACGAACCCCTCATTTTATCTGTCAAACTTTCATAGCGAATCAAAACAAATATAGTGTAGTACTGGAATTTATACAAGAATGGGATACGTTAATCGATTTGCTTGAGACCAATAGGCTAGTCAAGTAGTGAGCCAATTTAAAATCGTTAGTTTCGTATTGATTGTTGCTAATTCTGTTTTCGTCACAAATTAGATCAGATCCCAAAGTAAACCAGAGTAGCTCGGAGCAACTATGAGTGAAAAAAGTACTCAAATGAAAGCCGTCTTCGCCCTCGGGTCCAAACACTAAGTTTACTGTAATTTGAAAAGAGATTACTTCCTGATGTCTCTTGAGAAGTTATTAAGCAGACAGTTGGCCACCTTCTGGGACTAGTCAGTTTCCAGTAGGTTACAAGTATGGCCTTGTCCGAAACATCCGTAAAAGTAGTCAATTCATGAAACTGTTCCTAGAGCTCCGTTGTTTTTTTTTTAAAAAACGCTCATAGACATCTTATCAGAATGAATTCGGAGTTGTGTTTGGAATATAGACTCTGGAGACTACGGGATAGTCCATCAGAAGATCCGGAACATCCGTTAGAGTGGTAAATTTTTGAAACAGATTCTAGAGCTCTGCGATTTCTTCGAAACCACTCATAGAAGATGTCTTATCACAGTAAATTCGGAGTTGTAAACAGAAAATGGACTCAATTCATGAAAATAGATCCTAGAGCTCCGTGGATTTTTTTTTCGAAACCACTCATAGATGTATTATCAGAATGAATTCGGAGTTGTGTTCGGAATATGGACTCTGGAGACTCCGGAATATCCGAAAATATGGTCAATTAATGAAACTGATCCTAGAGCTTCGCTGTTTTTTTTTTCGGAAACACTAATAGACGTCTCATCAGAATGAATTAGGAGTTTAGACTGGAATATTGAATTTTTTAGTAAACCACTCATTCCATTCAAGGATATTACTGCAATGCTATAGTTACATCTGTTAAATATGGTTACTATTTCACACGCTAAAAAAATATCAAGTTCTCCAAAAAGGGCACAACCCGATGGCCCCTGCAATATCGAGATGTATATAGGTTGTATTGGTTCGCTGCACCTTTCTAAGTAGATATCATAAATTTTCCATCCGATCCTCTACGATTGTAAAGACGTTGCCAGGTGTTGTATTTTGTTTTTCAAAAATCAAAACATGTTTGCAAAAATTGATTACCTCGTTTCTAGTGTGTACAATAGGTTTGAAAAAAACGACAAAATTGGTAGCGTGGACACTGAAACAAGCTACCGTAAAACGGTAAAACCATAGAGGTAACTCTAAGACCACTGGGTCCCGAAGAAAATCATTATTATTTTTGGCTCACTCAGTACCAGAACAACGGTCCCAAGCAGTCCCAAGCTATTTCACTCACCCCTGCATGTTCTGCATGAATCCACACACCCCTGATGTTATCTGTCAAACTTTCATAGCGAATCAAAACAAACATAGTGTAGTAATAGAATTTCAACTAGAATAGGGTACGTTAATCGTTTGCTTGGGACCAATAGGCTACTAAAGTGGTGAGCCAATTTAAAATCGTTAGTTTCGTATTGATTGTTGGTAAAACGGAGTATATTCGATAAAGCGGGTAACTTTGATAGTAAAATATAATGATTAAATTTACCTTCTGCACTATTGCCCAATTGCACTTGCTGCCAACCGATGGCATTGAATCGATTATTTTAGCGTTGCCAACATGTATGTATGTATGTATGTAAGGTAGCCACCATCCCTTCGAAGATCTTGTCTTGTATGCAGCTCCACTTAATAGCAAGATCAATTTGAGCTACCGATCTGAATTCACAATATCGCTGTATGAAGGGCCAAAAACGGTGGGGTGGACCCGTAAGCAGAGGCACTTACGCGAAATCCACGGGAATTTAAGAATCTCCTTCCAACGATACGATCCAACAAATCGAATAACGCAATTCGCAATACTTATTAAGCTTCCTACAGGATGGTTTGTTAAGAAGGGCGCGTCACTCTCCATGAAACTGTTGGAGTAGAATTCACACCATCACAATCGAATCGGTAGGATAAAGAAAATGATAGTGTTTATTCCCTCCTAGACTCCGGTTGTCATACCACTCCAATCGTCCAGTTCCAGGTCAAATGATACCCTGATGCTCCCTCCCAACCCAGTATTTATTTATGTATATAGTAAAAATGTGTAATGGAGAAATGAAATATATCAGAACATTAAAATACGTAATAATGAAAATACATTTATATGGATACAAAAAAACTGGTATTCTGCAATGAAAATAATAATTATTTTACATACAATATGATGCAGTTCTATGTCTCCTCAGCTTCCAATAAGTAAGATGTAACCCTGAAATTTCCAGGTTATATTATGCAAATAAATATTTTTAGCTAGAATGATACTTAATATGTTTGTGTTGTGTTATGTTGTGGGAGAGCTTGGGATTAAACCCATGATATTCTGCTCATTAAGCAAAACCGATCCCTCTAAGGTTATCGAGCATCTCAAAACTAAAACACTCCACGGCAAAACATGATTAAACCCTCACCTGGTATGTAATGAACAACAGAAATACGCGATAATTCATATATTTTCAGCATATGATCGAAGACAACAAATCAAGAAGACTGGCAACTCTTCCATTTTCTCATACGAACGCTATGAGGCAGGTTCAAACGCGTCATCTGCCGCTCAAAGGTAAATGTTTCGAACGAATTTGATAGCAAAGATTACATCCTCAGAAGAAGGG